CCCCGCCCGCTTCGCCTCATCTCCAACGAGTTAAAGCCTGACCAGGACGAGGGGCTCGCCTTTGCTCCGGGCGCAAAACAACCACTCCGTTTAGAAACAGCCAGTCTCGCTGGGGATCCCCCACTGGCAAAGACTTGAGAGCTTTCCGCGGCAGCGGCAGCAGGAGCAACCACAGAGAAGGTAAGAGGCTGCTCTGGGCTTGGGTGATGCTCAGTCGGCTTGGCATTGCTTTGTGGGGAGGGAGGAAAAGGGAAGCGCTTTTCCTCGCTTCTTCGCTTTCTTGCCCCCGATTTGTAAAATTATCGTGCGCCCCAATCCTGCACATATTTCTGTAGAATAAAATGTGTCTTCTGTGAAGTCCACCCCCCCCAAGGTCTGATAGAATTATAGCTTTAATGATGGTGTTCTATTTAACAGATCCAGACAAAATGGTTTATTGTACATATAAAATTGAGGAAACCACTGTAACCCATCCATCCTTGGGAATAAATACCCCAGATCTAAACGGATGTGCCCTGGATCACAGTAGTTGCAAAATATTCACTAGTAGTTATTCTACCTTTTTCCTTAGCTGACAAAGGAGGACCAGATTTGATTTGGAACTTAAGGCACTTGTGTAAGACTGAAATTTCTCCATAGTAAAAGTAACTTTAATTGCTTTTCACTTCTTTTTAAAAAATGTGATTTCTCCATCTGGGACTTTAAAAAGTTGGGAGAAATGTCTCTTGCTACCTGTCATTATTGGACATGAAAGGATTGTTTCAGGAGACTTTGTAAGTGAAGAAGTTGGCTGAAGCAGACTTAATTTTTTCTCATAATACCTGGTACTTTGGAAGTGTTCAGTTTAGATATAAAAGATTTCAACTTATTAGTGAGACTTTCAAACTCCTCACTTATCTCAATCAGACATTTTCACTGTAGACTCCAGACTGCATGACAGCATGGATGGGTGGGTGGGGGGCAGCGGCAGGGGGAAGTGTTAGAATTCTATTGCATTCTATGCCACTTTTATAAAAAGGGATTAGAAGGTGGGGTAGAAAAGAGGAACATGTTTACAGTTAGAATACAAATTCCTGTTAATCTCAGTATGTATACAAATATTATAAATGAATTGTATATATTTTTTGAGCCAGTCTCTTAATAGGAGAGAAGGTGAGGCACATCTTAGATATCAAGAAAGAAGACAAATTTGCCCTAGAATGAGGGAAAGATATGAAAGAAGCAGATGCAGATTTAGAAACAGATGTGCAGTTTGTCCATAAACATGGGCATCCCTAACTAAGCACCAGTTTGCCAAATGGGGCATTGTTCCTTTTAATAATTTGTGATATTAACTGTGTTTGGAAGGTTTATCTGTTATGTGCAGAAAATGCTAATAAACGTGATGAAATGCCTAATAGGCACCTTTGTTTAACTTGAAAGCTTGCCTATTATATCAGAATGAAGGTTTATTATATTTTACCCCTTGTTTAAAATGATACAGTTAGCAAAAGGCCTTCTCTATCTACAAATAATTGCTGGTATATCCACACCTGAAGGTATGTTAATTAGCATGCTAGAAAGGTCACTTCAACATTTCCACAAGCAAGCTTTCTGGCTGCTTTGACTTAAGCGATTACATTCAATAAAGAGCTGTCACATTATCAGCTGTGTCCACTTCTTTTCCAGGATGAATGGGCAGTAAACATTTTTCAGTCTCCTCTGAATTTATTAAAGTCAGTCTCCTCCCTTAATAGACAATGTGGTTAAATGGGACCTTTTCAGGGAATGGATTGCTTTCAACTCATTAAGTACAGTGCTAGATGACTATTTAATTGAAGGCGGGGGGGGGGGGTTTGTACACTGCTTAGGTTTCTCTAACAGATTTTTGTTGTTGCACTGTCTATGGATTGATTCATTTAATTCATTAAACTCATCTCCCTGGGGAACAAATAAACAATGTAGTGACTCTGTGGTGGTAACTTGAAGTTTGGCAGGGCTTTCTCTAAATATTGTTAGAAATATTCCTAGTATGTATTATGCATTCCATATCCATCTGATATATTCTTCTGGCTATGTAAAACTATTCCTTAATGAAGACTTTATTCTTGTATTGTCATTAAAGATAGCAAGTAAAGGTTTTTGTCATAGTTGACTGATTCTGGAGGCATAAGTGAAAATGGTTTAAGTAAACAGCTATAAAATCTTGAGTGGTTGGCCCAGAATTTCTCTTTTCATTTTATTCTTTGTCTTATGTGAAGTTTGCTTAGAATGGAGCCTGTGTGAATCTGATAGATGAAGCTATAAGCTAAGATGTAAAACCATTAACTTAGTATGCTAAACAGTGTTGCATAACTGTAGTGTAGTTTTAATAGAATGTGCTAGAGCAAACTTTTAAAAATTGATCTCACTTTGTTCACTGGATAAAATAGCTCAAGAGATGTTGAGTGTCTCTTAAGTCTGATCCTAAGCAAACTCACTTTGTATAAATTTAATTAAAATAATGGATTTGCTATGCAATAAATAAGTGAGAATTGTGGATTTTGGCTTGCCCTCACTGGGACTTGACATTCAGTATGCCAAGTTAGAGTGGTATAAGATTTGCAGTGTTGCAGACAAATGAGCCAGTGCAGATGTTTTGGACTGGGAAACTGCCATTCAGTTTTTATCTTAAATATTGGAAGTAGAGCTAGGAGGACACACATTTTAAAGAACTCTCTAGCAACATTTGGAAATTGTTAGGTGGTCAGTGCTTTCTCATAGAATCTTTACAGACTTCATTTTCTCAAACTTTGTGGGAAAGAAAACTGAAGTGACCACTGGGATTTTCAGATAAGTCTTTAAATCTTAATTCAGGATTGATTTGTAGGCAATCACTAAATAGAGATTGTTTCCCTGGCCTTGATTCACAATTAAGAGTTCACTTATGTTTCCATTTAATATTAGTAAAATTAAGAGGTTTAAGTAATTATTTCAGCACATAGTTATATGGCAGTGGGAATTCTAAATTAAGTGAGTGTGATCATGGTACTAATTCAGAGCTAGTATGGAAGTTATCTATGTGGTGTACCTTTTGGAATCTTAGTACATTAGCTGTTAAAAATAATAATGACCCTTTTAGCTAAGAGGACATATGTCTGAATAAAATAAGTGATAAATCACTCTGTACTCAAAATGTCATATAAATTATTCTTTTATCATCTTTGTACCTAAGAAATACAGAAACTTTGATAAATGAACTGAAGATTGCTTACCTTTCCCTTGCAGTTTCAAGAAGTGCCTGTGAGTGCTCCACTGGAAATGGCAATATTTTAATTTTATGTAGCAACAGTGCTGAGTAAATTGCTATTTGTATTCTTCAGTCTCCTATTCAGCAATATATTAGAGCAATTACTGTTGTTGCTATTCTTACCCTCCCCCAATATGTTGGAAACCTAGTATGTGACTACAATGAGCCCAGGTTCTAATAAGATAGATAGAAGAATCTGAATTAAAAATAAGTAGGTTCAGGAATTCCTACTACCTTGACTTTTTTGTTTTTGATGGGAACCTCATCAAGGCTTAAAAGGTAGGTAAAAATCTGCAGTGGTTGCATAGTCATTGATGGGTAATTGACTTGGCAGCCTTATGGTTGGGGGTGCACAAGTTAGAGCATGGATATTAAAGCTAGTGCATTTTATTCCATTTGTTCCTGCCAGAGTCCTGCCTAGAATCAGTATTTTGGCTGAATATCTCCGCTGATGTCATCCATTAGCAAATACTTACCTATAATAGCTATACTTTGGGAATGCACTAGAAGGAATATACTTGAATATGTACTGATATTAGTAGTGGTAGAAGGGTAAAACTAATAGCTATGAAATCATGTCTTCTGCTTTCTAAAAAAAAAAATGTTGGATTTGGGATTTCATTATACAGAAATATAATCCTTTTAGATGTTGAAGGAGTGCACATGAAAGAGAACTGGAATAGGGCTGAATACTAACATGCTAGATACTGTATGCAAGCTATTGAACTTTAGTGGATTTCTAAGAGAGTTCTCTAAATAAGATGCTGTACAGAGTAACATGGGATTTACAAATGTACTCCAGGGGTTACAACAAAAGTATTTATGTTTTTTTCTGGCAATCAGTAATAATTATTAGAACATTTCACCTAGGTAAAGTCATTTTCTTCACAAATAAATTGCGTTGGTGTACAGAACTATCTCTTCTGTGAGTTTTCTTCAGCATCTGTTGTTTTGTGTGCCTCTTGTGGAAATGAAATGTTCTTATGTATTCTGCAGTGATACACAATGCTACAAAGGCTGCCTAACCATCTGAACATTTCTTGTTATATAGACATACATGTTCTTTTTAAAGAAGTAATTCCACATTGGCCTTCAAAATCCAGTTTTCATAATTGTCCTTTTAGTTATCTTGGGGCTCAGATCTTGGGATAAATTGACTTTAGAGAAAGGTGGCTGTGATTTATTTAGTTTTGACTGAATATGTTGTGTGAATTTACTATAATTGTAGAAAGCATAATGCTCCTTCATAAGCCATGCATATGGCTTCTTTAACAAAAAACTGTATGTTCACAAAAGACAAATGGATAATTTGGGGTCGGAATTACTTCCCTGATTACAAGCTTTGACACTGTACTCTGATCATGAACTGTCTACTTGGGTTTGGGTCTAAAATATTATGCTGAGGCTGAAATTTGTAAAAATGAGGTAGGTGTTGCTGTACTACACTGTTAGGAAAGGGAAACTCCTGTTGTTTTGTGTTCCCTACAATACAACTAAATTGCACTTAGAAAATGTAAGTAGTGAGGTCACTTTTGTGCCTTACAGTGCATTTTAGACACCAGAAGTTTTGTTTCTAAAGAAGAATCTGCAGTCTTTGTGAAGTTGCTTTTGTCTACCAACAAAAGTTGGCCACACCTAATTATTCCAAACAAGTGTATGTAGGTAACATTCTTTATAGTATTAAACTTTTTCCTATTGTAGTTCTCAGATAAAATGTATTTATAGGATAATCAATTATTTGGACCAAAGAAAAGTCTATAAAATTCTGTATTCTCCAGATGTTTTGGATTGGATATTCCACTGATCACTAATTTCATTGGTTGAAATTTATGGGGACTTAAGTTAAAAACATCTGGAAGTTACTCTATTTTACGCATTAATCAATGTCAGTTACATGCATCTGACTTGCAAA